GAGAAATAGAGAAGTCAACCATCTACCTCCCACCCCAGCTCTTTCCACTGCAGGCTTCCAGCCTAAAGCAGGCTTGGAGGAAGGGGTATGGGAGATGGAAGATGTGTCAGTCAATCCATTCAATTTGGTTGATTTTGATTATTATTTTGTACTGGCCATTCTGATGTCTAAATTGAAATTGTGATTCTAGGATAGGACCCTGCTCAGTTTGAGCAGAAAAGACATGAGCCCCTAGAATGGGGCAGGGAAATAAAGCCCCAGGAGTTAAATTTTAGAGGAACAAGGAGACAAAGATCAAGGCTGTATTTAGATAACATTCTGGACTGTTCTTAGGTAACACAAGGTTATATTTGTAACACACTTAGCAGGGAGCTGGGCACGTGGAGCCCACTTGATCAATGTCAGCCATTATTAGAATAAGAGCCTACATATGAAGAAATATAAAGAGGAGCATTTCATTTAATCCCCCAAATAGCTGTGTAAGGTAGGGCTTGCTCTTCCTCTTTCCAATCCAGCAGCATGGAGCAATGGCCACCTCTGGAGCCCTTTTGCTGTCAGTGGCATAAGTGGCCCAGCCAGCATCAATCCCCTCACCATGCTCCCTTGTCTGGGGGCCATCAGCTTGTTGGAACACCCTTAGAAGAACTTGACTTGGGGTAAGAGTAATGATTTCAACTCTACTTAGACATCTTTTGCTGATTCATCATAGTGCAGGACGATATTATTTATGGACTAATGTAGTTTGTAGCTTGGAGGAAATATGACCTAGAAGTCTATTTAAAACATGGAAACCTTGCAGATTAAGGAACAAGATAATAGAGTTATTGCAAAGCCCATTCACCTGACGTGATTGGGAGTTAAAAATCACCTTGGCCAACAAGACTGTCCTTTTCTTCTCCTACTGAGTGAAATAGCAGGTGCAAAGGCTCTGCCCGTGTTCTCCTAGATGGATGCTCTAGGGCTTTACCAAACCCAGCAGGCTGAACCAACACCACATTCATCTTTGAGGCTGTCATTTGGTGGCACCTCATGGTCTTGTGTCAGGCGAGTAATATGCGGTTTTTTACAACATGCCTTCCTTTTTTAACAGCCCCTGAGAAAGACACTCAGAGGCCACTGTCTGAAAATGGCAAGGGCTGTTTGTGAAAGGGACCAGTGTGTAGGAAAGCCCTTTCCCACGCTGAGTTCTTCCTTCGATAGACGTGTATTGAACCGCTACTGTGTGCCGGCAGGTCTCTGCCTTCAGGCCATGCACATCTAATGTAAAACGCTGAGGCCTCAGCTCTGTGTTGGGACCAAGTGCTCAGGAGCTCCATCGAGGGACACTGAGGGTCTTGGGCCTGGGTCAGGTGGAAGAAGGTCAGAATAAGCTCTCCTGGCCCTTCCCCTGAGTCTGGTGGCCTTGTGGCTCCTCTCTGGTCACTAGGTATGTCTTATCAGGCCTCCTGGATCTGAATTCAGACTCTGGGATCCCAGACTTGGTGGCCAGTCATGCCTCTGTGACCGAGTTGTGGCCTCAATGAGCCATTGAACTCCTCTGTGCCGCAGTTAATATTTCTGTATAGTGGAGATATCACAGGCTGTTTGTCTGTGAGCTGTTGTGAGGATGAGGGCTGACGAACTATCCAACGTGCTTGGTAATAAAAGCCGCTCTTTCCTGTTGAACACCTACAGTGTGTGCAGGCCTGTGCTCAGTACTCCAGACATCCATTCATGGACTAAATCCTCCCAACAGCAATCCTTCCTAGGAATTACGTGTTGTCATTGTCCCCATTTCACAGATGAGAACTCTGAGGCATAGGCATTTCGATAACTTGCCCACGGCACAGTGAGTGGGGGTAGAGGCAGAATTCAAATCCAGACCACCTGCAAGAGAGCTGTGCCCATAACCACTCACTAGGTCGCCTCGACCCAGGCTGCAAGCCCCTGCTCAGTAAGGGTTGCTGATGGCGATTACATCTTTACCACTGTCATTGGGAGAGAAGACGTGCATGTTCATTGTCAGAAATTCTTCCATAAAGCACAGGCCATAGCAGAGCCTTTATTGTGGCCCCATGGCAGGAGTGAATGAGCAGGGGAGGCAGGCTTACTCATTGAGATGACGTGTGTGCAGGTCATCCAAGCTACTTTTATTATCTGGGTGGGCCACATGTATAATATGGGTGGAAACCCTTCATTCAACACACACCTACCCACACACCAAATCACACTTTTCTTGGTAGAAGGTGAGGGGAATAATCTGTCCTAACTACAACACCCCTTCCTGCAGCCAGCTAATATCTCCAGGAAATCTCTGAACACTTGGTGGAAAAAGCCAGGTTCACAGATGCCGCTGCTGGCTAAGCTCAGTCCCTCTGGAGTAAACTCTTATCTGAGCTCCACTCTGGACACTCCCGACCCTCACCTTTTCCACTGTTCACCCCAGGGATGTGTACAGAGTGGCCACTGCCACTGTCCTTCCCCAGTTCAGAAATGTTGGCATCCCAATCCAGGGGCTGCCCACCCTGAGGTTTAAAGAATCCGCCTTTTCTCCAGAGGTAGAAATAAGACCGTAGTCACCCATGTGACCCCCCTTGAGAAAGAGTCTACATGTCCTTCTATTTAAGACACCAGGGATAAAAGGCTATGCCACAAACTTGATAACAGTCTTTCAGCAATACATCATGCAATGTTAAATGTCCCCACTGACTGTAAAATTCCAAAAACACTGAACTGTAGATTCAAGGAAATAGAGAGTGTCCATCTCAACTAGTGCATACACCCCTCAAAGGTTCCTGTTGTCCTCAAGCCACGTCCAAGAGCCATGGAAAGGCAGCAAAGCCACCCATGACCTGACTTCTGCTCAAGGCTCCAGCCTCAGCTCCCACATCTCCGGCATCCCCTGACCTTGTGTTTCCACTACAGTTGTTGTTCCTCAATGAGCCTGGGTGGATCATGCCTCTGTGTGGTTGTACATGCTGTTCCTACTCTGGGGGTGCCCTTCCACCCAGTGGCAGCTCCACAAACACCACCTCTGGGAAGTGCCCCCTCTGTGATGATGCTGTGGGAGAAGATTGGGCTTGATTTCCACCTGTGTCGCTCCTGGCTGGGAGGCCTCAGCATAGGAATCGCCCACCACACCTTTAACGTGCCAGCCGTGTGGGGGGCGAGTGGCTGTGCGGTGGAAGGAGACAGCTGTGGGAAGGGCTCACACCACCTGGCACATGGTAAGAGCTTCATGGGGTTGGTTCCCTTGTGTTTTCTCAGATCTTGTTTTTACCCTTACTGAGACGGGAGCCAAATCCCTAGAGAAAATAAAATCAGCAACACCACACACGGGCCTAGTGGAAATTCCACTTCTATGTATGTTGGGGTTTTTACTTCCTAGTCTTTCTTTTTAATCAAGGTATGACACACATACCATCAAATTCATCCTTTTAAAGTATACAACTCAGTGGGTTTTGGTATCTTCACGGAGTCGGGCCACCATCAGCCTTCCCTAATTCCAGGGTATTTGCATCACCCTACATGAAACCCCACACCTATGAGAAGTCATCCCCACTCCCCTGTCTCCAGCCCTCTGGGCCCCCCAGCAGCCCTAGCCTACCCCTCCCAGCCTTCTAACGAGAGCTCCTCCTGAAACTGGAAAGCCAACATTGGCCTTGCCAGTTCCTCAAAGGGCGTTGGAAGGGCTCTGCCGGCTGATGGAACCAGAGGAGTTTTGTGAATAAAAATTGTTATTAGGTACAGAAAAGGGAATCAAATCTAAGGCACCCCTTAGATGGAGATGAGGACTGGACCAGCTGCTGGCCGTGTGCCCCCGGCAGGCCACGTCCCCACTCACTCTGGGGCCTGGGGCCCTGCTGCTCTCCCCTCATGGGATCCTAGAACTTGCAAAAGTCTCCGTCACCATGGACCTCAGTAGGGAGCAACGCTTGGGAGAGCAGAAGAGGGAAGCCCTGACTCCCAGCAGGCAGCTGGGGGAGAGATGGGGAGGCTGTCCCCAGGCCCTGCCCATGCTGTTGCCCCAGGATCCTGAAGGCACCTTCCCATGGGCCCCACCTGAAGCCAACAGAGCCTCTGCCCATCATGTGAAATCTTTTCAGGCCTGAGTGTGTCTTTTTTTGCCCTTGGCCATCTTCTTGTACCTTCTTGGGAAATAAACATGTCAAGGACGTGGCATTGAGGACTTGGTTTTTCCTCCTCATGATCGGAACTGCATTTTGGGCGGGATTCTCTTCTTCCAGTGGCACAGTGGGAGCTTATTGGTAAACACAGGTAGGAAGAAAGCAGATCACGAAGAACACTACCTTGACGGGCATCGTATTGTGTGCTCTGGGCTGCATTTAAGCTGCACTGCAGGGGATGTCACTGCTTGGAGTGAGTCAAGTGCCTCTTGAATAGTGCGTGTCACAGGGATCTGTTTGCCTTTCATAGCTGGCTGGAATGTGAAAATTCTCCTCTCCCTAAGGGGTAAGCTGTGCCCCACAGGCCCCTTCTTCCTCATTCCCATGGGGTCTGCAAGAGCTCCAGCTGCCCTCCTGTGTCCTCACTGACAAGACAGAGACAGTCGAATGTCGTGGGCCTCTAGATGTCTAGTGGTGGTACCCATGTCACCTCCATGTGCAGGTTCCATTCTCGGGGCAGCCTGGGAGGCAGCCCTGGTGGTGAAGAGAAGGAGACCCTAAGATCCCCCAGGCTCACCATGGTTCCTCAGGGAGGTGGAGTCAAGCAGTCCCTGAGTGGCCTTGGCCGACCTGAGCCACCTGCTTTTCAGAGCTACCACCCAGGTCACTATCTCACAGGGGACTCTGAGGAGTCTCTGGACTCATGCATGGAAAATGCTGTATACACAGGACTGGTGCCCAACCTGGCTCAGTTCCTTCCCTCAGCCTTTGTTCGTGGGGATTGTGCTGGGCAGGAAGATGTTCTGCAGGGTCGAAACCACCTGGTCCAGTGGCTCAGTCCCCTCAACAATGACCAAAGGCTACTGCCCTCAGCAGCATCTCCTTCTCCTGCAGGAGAGTACCTGGCCATACCTGTTTGGAGTGATTGTGGTCCCTGCCGTTTTCCAGCTGCTGAGCCTGCCCTTTCTCCCGGACAGCCCACGCTACCTGCTCTTGGAGAAGCACAACAAGGCGAGAGCTGTGAAAGGTGAGGGCCGTTCTCTTTCTTGCACAGCTCCAGCCCCTGCATAGATCAGCACTGCAAGGCATGCTGGGACCTGGGCCAGTGGGCACAGGAAGGGGTGCTGTCATTGTTCCTTTTGCAGGCACTGGGCTGGGGGTCATAGGGCACCTTCTCATTTCATCTTCCCAACAGCCTTGCTAGGAGGACAGACAGGGGGCACAGAGTCACCCAGGGAGTCTCCCAGGGAGTCTGGAAAAGCCAGAACAGGCAAGATAAGATGCAGGTCCTCTCTGGGCAGCATCTCCCACTACTGCCTCTTTGGTTGTTTCCAGCCACAGAGATGAAACCATCTAAATCTCCAAGTGGCTTAGGTGCATAGCGGCCCTCCTCCCGCTCCTTCTCCCTTCACTGACTTCCTCTGTCTTAACATTTACGTGCCAGGAAAGGAAAAGATGTAAGCACAAAATGAACACCAGATCCCACCAGGCACTTGTCTGAGTGCTTCTGCACAATGACCCATGGGACCTTGCCAGCAGTCCTTGGAGGGAGGAAGGAGTATACACTCATTTTACAGGAGAGGAAAATAAGGCTCGCAAAGGCGCTTGGGAGTTGTCTCAGGTAGCTTTCTTTAAATGCCCTAAATGGGGGGGATGCTGAGTCAGATTCAAAGCCTGGCTTTTGGAATCAGAGACATCTCTCCACAGAGCCCTGAAAAGGCAAAATTATGTTCCCTAGAGATAGACAATGCAGAATGAACAATCACATTCTCATTCTTTTAGTTTTGTAAAATGAGATGCAGTTGAGAGCGCCACGGTTAGTTAGGCATGTGAAGGTAACCAGCACTACCTTCACATCCAGCTCTGCTGTCTGACCTTGAGCGACTTTTTAAAACTTTCTGAGCCTCAGAACCCTCGGCTGTAAAAAGAAAATGACCTAAACTTCCCTCGTGGGCCCATTGTGAAGATTGAATTAATGGTGCGGATAAGGTTCGTAGTATTATCTGCTGTCCTTATTACTGAGAACTCTGTGCATTTTAGTTCTAAATTTCACTTATGTCCAAATCCAGGAAAAACCTTGAGAATTACATATACAATTTGTGCAACATTTTTTGAAATTCACACTACCTATTTTCTGAGTTAACAAATGGCATAATGAAATGTTAACAGTTGCCTATATTTGTCTAGCAGTTTATGGATCAGATTCATTTTCTCACTTATAACATTTCTCTAAAGTGAAGTCAGAGAAGGTAATTGTTATTACCTTCATTTTGCAGATGAAGAAACTGAGGCTTACAGAGATGAAGTCCATTTCCCAAAGCTGTGGGTTTTCGTTTATAGAGATTTATACAGGCTTTTGAAAATATGATGGAAATGATAGTGTTTTCTTCAATACAGAGATCATACACACAAAATTCTGCCTATGGCTTTGGTGATGGACCTGGGACTTGAGCCCTCTTTTCTCCAGAGGACCCTGGTTAATAACTGCCACGCCCAATCTTAAACCCATTAGTAACCAAAGGATTGGAACCCAAGGAAGATTTTCTTCCCACACCCCTTGTGCACAGAGAGATACCAGGAAAGGGAAGTAGCGTCTATTGTACCAGGTGACTTCCCATGTGGCCAGTGAGGAGAAAAACTAACTAAAAATTTGGTTCAGATGGTTGTCAGATGGCAGAGTCTCTGGAGTAAAAAGAAGGTGACTAAGAGAGAGAACCAAGGGGATCTGATTCTAGAAAGCACCTGGGCTGTGCATTGTTGGAAGAGGGCGAGCCCTCCAGCTCTGTCTCTACTGGCCTGGGAGGGTAACCCGCACCCCATCTGGCTCTGCTCGGGAAAAACTCTTAAGAAATGCTTCAATTAAGTACAGTTGGAATGAACAGTGCATGTCAATGCCAGTCAGTGAAGAAGGTTTTAAAGTTTTATTTCATAGCACAGTAGGGAGTAAGGGAGAAGTATAGTTATAAAACATGATAAATATTACATGTGCACTCTATAAAATGAACAAAGATACTGACCTTAAGTTGAAATAGATTATTGAAATTTTCATCTGTACCTATAAAAGTGCTAATTTTACTCCAGACATTCAGCAAGCAATGGATATTTACCATGTTGGGCATTCAGCCAGGTGACAGGGTCAGACAGTGGTATGAGATGACATTCCTGCCCTCTAGGAGTGAGGGAGGGTGAAGGTCTAGTTAAGGGAGATGGACAGAAACACGCACTAATGGCTCATCTGTATTGAAAACTATTTCATTCTAAGCACTTCACATACATTAGCTCATTAAATCATTACAACAACCATACAAAGTAGGTCACATTTTTATTCCCATTTTAAGACCTAAAAAAAACCCAAAAAACTGAGGATGGAATAACTTGGCCAAAGACATAAAGCTAGCCAATCACACCACTGAAGTTTGAATTCTGACACTCTGGCTCTGGAACTTATGAATGTAAACAAAATGCACTTTATTACCTAGCACCATGCTCGGCACTGTGGGAGATACCCCTTCTCCAGTCTGTTGACAGTTTGGGGAAAAGGGGCCCTGTGTTAGTCAACTATTACTGTAATAATGCTGCATTAAAAAACACCCGAAACACATTGGCTTAAGATAATAGTATTCCTTAGTTCACAAACCTATAGGTCAACTGTGTTGTTCTGTGTTGTTCTGTTAATCTTAGTAGGGCTTGACCTTAAAATCCTTCTTGGGGCCAGCTGAAGTTCACTCACGTGTCTGATGGTCAGCTGGCTGACTTAGGTTGGCCTTAGCTCTATTCAATGTACCTCATCCCCAGCTAGCCAGCAGGGCACATTCTCATGGTAATCAGAGAGGAAATGGAAAACAAAAGCAGTTTCTCTAAGTTGGAAATCTCCTAAAATCCTACTGGTCAAAGTAAGTCACATAGCTAAGCCCAAAGTCAGAGTGGAAGGGGGCTTCAAAGTTTTAGGATAGAGGACATAAATGTAGGGAGGTCACAAACTTGGGCCATCAACACAATCACTTTAGACAAGAGGCCCCTTTCGGGATGTCCCTATCCCACTCCATCCCCACCCCCAGTTCATAGTGGCAGGGAATGAGTCCCATGCCCTGGGTCTTATTTATTTATGCCACTCTTGTCAGTTTAGGAGAATCCCAGCCTCCAGTGCCTAAAAATGAGGGAACACCCTAACTTCTACTCTGAGAAAGGGAAATGTATTTGATGAGGACTCTTTGGGCCATAAGAGGTAGAAACTACATCCAAAGCAGTGTAAGCAAAAGGGAAACTTTTGGCTCCTGTCCCTCATGATCTGAGGGCACCAGTAATGGGCCCTCTTCCTCTTTCCAGCCAAAGTTGAAATCAATCAAGAGATGGATACACAAGTGGAGGAGGTGGGTTAAACTTATCACTTTTGGTGTGAATAAAGACTACTAGGAGATTTTGGCATTAGGTCTGATGGCCAAGAGAACCTCTTAAGATTGTACTCCTGAACTGAACTTGCCACCTACTCATGGCCTCTCTGACAGGGCCCATCCCTGAAAGACTTAGAACATGGAACAGAGAGTGTGCTCTTCCAGCCAGATAGGTCCCAAAAAGAAAGGGAGGAAATAAGCTGTGCAGGCCATTTCTTTCCCCCAGCTTAACCAATTTGGTAAGTTCCCTCTCATCTCCTGGACAGGAGCGAGTGAGGTGAAGAATGACACACTAATGCCCTTCATGAAGAAAGCAGTATCAGGAGTGAGCAATATGTGTTCTTCCTAATCATAAGCAGTGAAACGGCTGGGCTTCCTTCAGGTATGGTGGGATCCAGGAGCTAAATCCAAGTCATTAAGGTACTGCCTCTCTCTCAACAAACCTTGACATTCTTAGTATTTCATTGGCTTCATTCTCAGACAGGCTTTCTCTACTTGATATAAAGACAGCCCTGAGCAGCTCCAACTTGGTAAGACTATCTCAGAAGGAGAGACATTCTCTGTCACACATCATACATTTCACTCTCTGAAGAAAATAATTATAATTGTCTTTCTTGGGTTATGGCCATCCTTGAAGCAATCACTGCAATGGGAATTAGAATTCCCTGACTGGCCAGTTGCCATCCATTTTGATGATTGGGAGATGGAGGGTTATGAGGTTTCCTTGACATCTCTACTGAGATTATTGGGAGCACAGGAGGATAGCTTCAAGGAAAAGATGCAGCCAGAGAAAAAAGTACAGGATGGCCATCACCATGCAGAAATTACCCTTTTATCCCATCCAGATGCACCTTCCCTGGTAGTGCTGTGTCCCCTGTCCTCCATGGTCTATATTGGTCTTTGCTGTCTGAACTCCAATTGTGGATAGACTTGGCGGGGAGCTCAGACCACAGCTCCCAGATAGGCAATTCAGAGCAATCTTGATGTGTCTCCTTTTTTGTTGCTTTGTGTATGGGAAGGAGTGTGTTTTTATAGGATATAGCATTTGGGAGCCAATTATTGGCTGGAACCCTGGCCTAAATAGAAAAGGAAGATTATCCATTATTGGTCACCAGTGGAATTTTCATTGGCATTTTGATTAGAGGAAGTTTCTTTCTTTTGTTTTGTTTTGTTTTTGGTAGAGAAAGGTATGTGTATCATGATTAAGTCCTGCTCCTTATGATAGAAAACTCAAAGTAATAGTGTCCTAAACAAAGTAGAAGTTTATCTCTGTCACACATTTAAAAAAAAAATGCTCAGAGTAGATTGTCTAGGGCTGTTATGGTTCCTCCTGGTATCAGAGACCTGGCTCTATTCATCTTTGACTGCCATTCTGAGAAGGTCCTTTCATAGCTCAAAGTAGCGGCCATCGTAACTGCATTCCAGCCAGGAGGAGGAGGGTGAGAGGAAGGGATGGTTTGCCCCTTCTACTCCAAGAATTCTTCTTGGAAGTTCACACATTTTTGCTCCTGTCTGCTTCGACCGAAGGGAATCCCATAGACTCTCCTGACAGCCAGAAGCCTGGGAAATATCATTATTCAATGCATTGCTGCCACAAGAGTCCGGGTCTGCTCCTGAGGAGGAGGGGAGAATGAAT